CAGGTATTAATTTAAAAGCATGATATGAACCACTTTAAGTAAGTATTTTTTTAATAATTTTTTTTATTTTCTAGCTTTTTTATTTTTTTAATCTCTTCGAACTAAATGTATCATTACAATTTGATTCGTATTAATTTAAAAGCATGCTATGAACCACTTTAAGTAAGTATTTTTTAACAATTTTTTATTTTCTAGCTTTTTTATTTTTTTTTTATCTCCTCGAACTAAATGTATTGTTACAGTTTGATTCGACCAAAGACAAGCATCAATAACAAATCAGAGGATCCATAAAAACATTACCATACACGTGTCTATTCAACCGGTTCATTTTCCTCGAAAGTGCATCGGCAACCGGTTCCTTTTCTTGTAAGTTCGGATCGGAGTGCAGGTAGTTGAACGGAACATGGAAATGTTCTTCTATTTTTATTTTTATTTAAAAAAAAAACTTTTCCCCGTGATGGCTTTACATTGGTACTTCGACTGGTGAAAGTGCGGGAAATCTTTTTATGAACAAAAAAAAAAAGAGGGAGTGGAGGGTTGGGGGGGAGGATGGTGGCAAGAGAGAATGATTCGCTTTTGCTTTTAGGAGATGGTTTTAGAGCCAAACAGTGCCCATGCTTCAGCCGGCCGTTCATGTGCTTGCTTTATTTCGGACATCTAAACCTTCCAGGAGCAAAGTTAAGAATAAAAGCAAGTGGTATTCCGGGGAGAAAAGGAAAACAGGGAGAGAATTAACTAGTTGTTGATTTCGTACCTGGTGGATCGGACCTGACCTTTAGCTTACCCGAGCGAGTGCTACGTTTAGATATTTATGGATTTTATAAGATGTCGCATCCATTATTTTTAAAGCTATATTTTATTTTAATTTTGAAGAATCTTAGGTTCTATAATTAAATTATGAATATATTTTATTTCAGGACAAGTCAAACATATTTTTTTTAATAATTCAAAAATAATTTGCTTCTGTTTCAATATTTTCTTCTTAAAAAAAGATAAGTCTCATGAGATATAAAATAAATCAAAATATCTTTTAAATAAAGATTTTCATTTCCCTTCACTCCTTATTGCATATCTATTTTTAGAATTAATATATAAAATATGATTGTATTTTTTTAAAATAATATTTATTTAAGTATCAGAAAATATCCAAATTAATAAAAAAAGACTTTTTATAGTTATCAAGTATTATCCATCAACCACCTTGACGAGAAAGAATGGTTCATATCATTAAAACTAGTAGATTAACTCATTATTCAAGATATTAGCTTGACCCTTAAGCTCATTGGATTCATATGAACCTTAATAGTGGCTCCATTTATGGAAAACTAGTCATAAAACCATTATTTGTTCTTTTAAAATTCAGGTTATTTACATCCTTAATTATTATCAAAGATAGATTATCAATGAACTATTAGAGCGAATATTTATATCCTTATTGCATATCTATTTTTAGAATTATTCTATAAAATATGATTGTATTTTTTCTAAAATGATATTTATTTAAGAGTGGACTACTGGTTCAAACCATATAATTTGAGAATTTATTAAAACGACCGTCTCAAAGACATTTGTTAAAAAAATATTTATTTTCTCCCCTCTTAAGATTGAAACTATGATCCTAGCAGAAATATCATTAAAATTAATCATACCTCAATGAGAAATAGAAGTGTACTATGATTAATGATTAAAAATATAAGTTTTTTATATATGAATTAAATTGTTCAAAGTAATGATGCTTTCTATTTTCCATGTTCTTACCAGGGAACAAGTCTCTTAACCTTTCAAGAATGAGATAGATTCATTATTTAAAAGGAATCAATATCTCCCTTGTGATATGACATGTTTTATATTAAAAGGGATTGACTTAGTCTCCATAATGCAATCACCTCTCTCTTCAAGGATAAAATAGATATTGTCTTAGCAATAAGGATTGGTATAGTCTCCCTATAATACAAGCTCCTCAACCTTTCAAGGATGAGATAAAAAAAATTTCTAGTGTGATTACACATTTATTTTGGAAGAAATCAATGTCTTTCTAGTGGTATGACACAATTTACCTTGGAATGGATTGATATGGTCTTCTTAGTGCAGTCACATATCTTTTTAACGAAGGAATAGATAGTGCTTTTTAATAACTCATTATAGATACATCTAGATTGAAAAGAAGACACCTCTAAAAAAGATCTCTTCTCACTTCTAAGAATGAGATAAAACCTTTTTAAACCCTATTAAAGTTAGATGATTTTAAAGCTAAAAAATAAAATAAAAAAATATTTAACTAAGTATAAGCCTTGGACCTAAATAAAATCTCTACATAAGGACTTTATATCTATACAAATTAACATTTAGATAAGTGAACATTATGAAAGAGAATTTTTATTAAATAAAGTATATTACAACGATCAACCCCATAAAAGGCATAATAATAATAATAATAATAAAATGTATGTGTATATACAGACACATAAAAAATAGTTTAATAATCTAGTCCAGGTTTCTTAGCTAGATACTATTCATGTTGCGCAGCAACGACAATTATTGATGAATCAATTTTTTTGTTTTTGTTTTTACTTAGATCATTTCTTCCAAAAAAGTAAACAAAGATAGGGTAATAACCTAGCATTCCTGGGTTCAGCTAAGCACTAAACCAAGATATATATGGGTTTGGCGAGTTGCCTGATCCGCTATCTTTATACTCGGCCCAATATTGAACCCATGCATATATAGGTTTGGTGAGCTACTCCATCCATCATATATGAGTATGATAAGTTGTTAGACCTACCATCTTCGAGCTTAGCTAAGCATTAAGTCCATGAATAAATAGGTCTATCGAGTTGTTGACCCACCATCTCCAGGTTAATGCTCTTTTTAACTATAAGGAATATTAGGCTCCATGATTAGATAATGAGTTAGAGATATTTTACTTTTTGACGAGTCAAAGATATTTTATTTTGATAGGTCAAAGAATTTTTCATACACTTTAACCCTTTATCTTAGAAAAAAAAAAAACTTCATGAGCTATAAAAAAGACCAAGATATCTTTAAAAGAGATGTTCTTTTTTTTCACCACTCCTTATTAAATATCTATTATTAGAATTTTTCTCTAAAAGATAATTGCATTTTCTATAAAACAATATTCATTTAAGCATAAAAGAGTTTCTAAATTTATAGGAAAAGACTTTTTCCAAGTATTGGGTATTATCCACCTACCATTTTAGCTAGGAAGAATGCTTCAAATTATCAAACCAGAAGATTAATCCATTATTCAAGATAGAAGCTTGGTCTTTAAATCCATGGGATTTAATCAAACCTTAATTAAAAAAAAACACTTTTATTTGCATATATATATATATATATATATATATATATTCTTAACAATAAAGAAAATCTCTAAAACAAATTGGGTATCATCGCTAATATAAATATTCAAATCTAAAAAGTAACAAACCTCCTAGACAATTAAAATATTATTAATATTATGATTTTACTTTCATGTAACAAACCTGCTCAGAAATGAATGATATTAAATCACCAATCCGTACGCAATTCCACATGACCCTTGTTCTACTCGGGCTTCCACCGACTTGGTTA